TGCCCTTTGAAATCTTCTATTCAGCTCCTTAATCTCTTGCTTTCTTTCCTTTGCCTTGGCTTCTCGGAGCTCTTGTGCAATATTCAGTCTCTTCTGACATCCATTTTGGTCTTTTCTTCTTCCTCTATCTTTGTAATGACCTTTTGTATTCTTCCTGTATGATGTTCTGGATATCATCCCACAGCTCATCTGATTTTTATTCATTAGTATTCAAGGTCTCAAGCCTGTTCCTGAGATGGTTTTTTAACTCAGGTGGGATAGATTTAAGAAGTAATTTTGATTCCTGTGGATTTTATTTTGGCTTTAATTTGAATTTAGGAGCTTAAATTTATTTTACAGATCTGGAGGCCAGAAGTAAAAATAGGTCTCAATGGCTGAAGTAAAGTTATCAGCTTTTTTTTCCCCCTTCTGATAATTTTTACTGATTTTGGTGGTAATACATACAAATATTCACAATTGCTATATGCACAGTTCCATGACACAGCTTGTACACTTCCCAAGGTTGTCACTGTTCATTTAGACTCTCCCACTGACAGTTCTCATTGCATTTTAGATTAAATTTTGGGTTTACCAGGAATAGAAGTTTTGACCCCCTTTTTCAGTGGCTCTCTTCCAGCTACCCTTTCTATCCTCACTGATGGGGTGTTGCCTCTGGTACAAGAGTGGAATGAGCTGAAGTGTAGGTAGAAAAAAAGCCTAAGAGGAAGATAACAATCTGGTCTAATAGGTTCAGTGGACTTAGTAATTATTTTTATAAAAAGACGCTTAGTGACTAAATGATCAGAGGACAATGAGAGAAACAGGAGGTAAAACTCTCAAATCATCTGTTAATCCTGCCACTTTATCCCAGTTCAGTGGCTGCAACATTTCATTCTGTTAAAAAGATAAAAAAGAGCTCCCACTTTTCGATGATCACATACCTGCACACAAACAGTTCTTATGACTCTAAACAAGTGTAAATAGCATTCAAAACGCACCTAAATTTTGACAGGAAAGACCAGACGCAGGCTGCCTCAGTGTTGGCCAAGAGGCCTGGGGAAAGCTCTAAACAGGCAAGTTCGACTCCCTTAACTCGGAGAAGTGGAAAATGCGTCTTGCAGAGGTGAGTGGAGAGAGACTTGGGTCAGCTGTGTTCCATACCGGTCCTGGATCCTTCCTTCTCTTTCACACAGAAGCCTCTTGGAGAACAGACCAAGACGTACAGTTTGTCAAGTTCTTCATGGGTCCCAGGCCTTAGACCTGGAGGAAGTTATCAGCTTTTTTTAAGGCTCCAGGGTTGAACCTGTTCCTTTAAGTTTCCAGGTCCTAGTGGGTGCCTGTAATTCCTGGCTCTTGAGCCCACTCAGTAGTTGTCATCACATGTGTTTCTCAGAAACTTCTGTTCCCTTCTTTCCTTGTAGAGCCTAAGTTATTATATTAGGATTAATGTAGGCTAAATCCCTCCTTAATCATGTCTGTAATGCCCAAAACTGTGGCTGTGAGAAGAATGGGAATCCCAGAACACTTGATCGTGCTAATGCAAAACCTATACTTCGACCAGGAGGCAGTAGTCAGAAGAGAGCAAAGCAAACACTCACTGCATGGTTCAAAATTGGCAAGGGTGTACGCCAGGGATGTGTCCTATCTCCGTACCTTTTCAACCTGTATGCAGAGCAGATTATCCGGAGGCTGGGCTCTATCAGGAGAAATGTGGCATCAGGATTGGTGGATGATTTATCAACAATCTGCGTTATGCGGGTGACACAACCCTGCTTGCTGAAACTGAGGAGGACCTGAAGTGCTTGCTGCAGAGGGTCAAGGACTGCAACCTCCAATATGGATTGAGGCTCAATGTCAGGAAGACAAAGATTCTCACCACTGGGCCAATTGGCAGCATCAGGATGGATGGTGAAGAGATTGAGATTGTTCACAGCTTTAGTCTGCTTGGCTCCATAGTCAACACCCTCAGCACCAGCAGTCAGGAAATTAAAAGACATATTGTGATGGGAGAGTCTGCTGTTAGGACCTCTCCAAAGTACTGAAGAGCAATGGTGTCACTCTGGAGAGTTAGGTGCGTCTGATAAAGGCCATGGTCTTTGCAATCACTTGTTATGCATCAGAGAGTTGGACAATGACTAGGGAGGCTAGAAGGACAATTGATGCCTTTGAGCTGTGGTGCTGGAGAAGAGTATTGCATATACCATGGACTGCTAAGAAAACAAACAAGTTCATCCTGGAAACTGGCTACTCCTTGGACGAAGGATTCTGAGGCTTTGTCTGACATACTTTGGACATGTTGCAAGGAGGGACCAGTCCTTGGAGAGGGATGTCATGCTTGGGAGCATGGAGGGACAGCACATGAGGGAAGACCCTCTATGAGGTGGATTGATTCAGTGACTGAGGTAATCGGGATGAGTGTGTCAGAGACAGTGCAATTGGCACAGGACAGAGCAGGTTTAGAGCTGTTGTCGCTATGAGTCGCAGATGACTCGATGGCACATAACAACAATGTCCCTTTTGATATGCAAAGTTTTGGGGCACCAAATCTGAACTGACCCATAGCTGACCCTCCAGAATGTTTTCAGAGACAGTAAATTACACGAGAGGAGATTGCCCATCCTTGTCTTGTGGAACAACTGCTGAATTCAAACTGCATGCCCTTGAGATTGGTGAGCAGCTTTTTATTGTAAACTAGGCCACAAGAGCTCCCCTTTGGCCCCTCTAATGTTGTTGTTATGTGCCATAGAGTCACCTGTGACTCATAGCAACCCTATGTACAATAGCTCTGAACCCTCCTCTATCCTGAGCCAGTCTCACTGTCCGGAACACACCTACCCCCATTACCCCAGTTACTATATCAATCCATCCCATGCAGGATTTCCTCTCCTGCACTATCCTTCCACCCTTCCAAGCATGATATCCTTCTCTAAGGACTGGTCCCTCCTGGCAACATGCCCAAAGTATGTGAGACAGAGCTTCAAAATCCTTGCTTCCAAGGAGCAGGAGACCTGTTTGCTCTCTTGGTGGTTCATGGTATGTTCAAGATTCTTCTCCAGCACCACAACTCAAAGGCATCCTTAGCTCTCTAATGCATTGCTAATAATTGCAAAGACGATGGCATGGATCAGGTGTACCTTCGTCTCTAGACTGACATCATTGCTCTTTAGCACTTTGGTGAGTTCCCTGATGGGATTTCTTTAATACAATTGTGGATAGGTATACTGGGGGTGGGGGGGGGCTGTCAAATGTCTGCCTGCTAAAGGTGGACAGCTAAAGTTTTTGCAATCACATCTTCCATATGTTTTCATTCAATTGTTCATATACATTAATTACAATCATGCAATGCCATTACTTAAGTCTTATCAAAACCTCTCTCCCCATTCACTAATCTCTGCTCCCTCTCCCTCTCCTCCCTGTCCATCCTCCACACTTATTTGAGTGCAAATCTTTCCTTAGTCTCTTTCCCCCACTCCCTCCTCATTCAATCAACTCCATGGCCCTTCCCAGGTTGTTAAATGCAATGCATAATATATCTGACTGTCCTTTCATTTATAAGTGACCGTCCACATTTTAAAACAATAGCAGGAGGGAAAAAAAAACCCAAGACTTGGATTAATTTCTTTAATAAACTTTTGGAAGAACTTAACATGAATTAGACCATCTCTCAGTTTAATCTCAGAACAATGGGGTAAAAAAAAAAAAGAAAAGAAACCCCCTTTAGTGTGGGGACTCCTTACAAACACTTTCAGGTTCTCCTCGGGAATGTCAGGGTACAAGAGAGCCAAGTATAAAACTAAAAGTAGGCCGACATCTGTGTATATAGGACCTGCAATTATGACACCTGTGAGCTCCCTGGTGGTTGCACTTGCAAAATACCCTCATTTTCATGCTATTAGCACTGAAAGCTATATCCTTGGTACACTAAGCAAGTATCCCTGCTGAGTCTGGACTGTTACTATTCCAAAATCTCCTAATGTCACTTGTGTAGGTTGTCTCTCTTTTCAGGAGGACAATCATGGACTTCTTAAAGCCTTTCTTTCTTTCTTTGGAGAAGCTATGTTGTTCCTCAGATTTTCAGGGTCTGGTTTTTATTGCCAGCCTTAACTAACAACAGCAACATAACATTTGTAGATTGGCTATGGGAAACAGTTTAGTCTCTTCTATGTCACTGGTATTTACAAACATTACTTTTCTTTACCAAACTCTTTTTTATATACTGACTTATTTACAAAGTTTGAATACACTGTTTTTCACAAGAGATCCATAGATACTCTTAAAGATGTAAAGTTAATATAGAGTTCTGGATTCCTATCTGTCATTTTTTTATGAGCACTGATAGATTTGTTTTCTACATCTATTCTATCCTATGGTATCAAGTAACTTCAAGAAAAACCAAATGAAGGCTGCAATCAGCAGTAGGACAAAACTTATTGTAAAAATAAAAATGTAAAATAAATAAATAAATAAAAATGTAAGAGAAAAATGTCAACACTGTCTAAATATTTGGATGAAAATAATGAAAAAAATCACCAAAAAGAACATGCACAAAAACTAGAAAATGGGACAAAACCCAGAACATGAATATTCATAGCCTCAAATGCTTTTGACACAAAGAATTAAAGCAAAATGTGCTGACATTTGTAAAATCTTGCTAACCTGCACTTAAAACATTTTCATTTATTCTTCACTGCACCTAAAGTGTTGACATTCGTAGTGTTTATAAGCCTTATTTAGTTGCCTACCATATTTTTTTGGCCCTTATCTCTTTTGAAATAATAAGAAATGTAACTACCAGCTGTAGTGAAGAACTAAGACCTTAAAGGGACAGAATTAATCAAGTCTAGGACAACTCCAACAGTAGTGAATATTCAAGATTGCATGCAACTTGGGAAATGGGTTTTTCAAGGGAAGGAGAAGTTGAACTTATTACTCAAGCAAAACTTTCTTATTCCAAGACTCACTAAGACAAACAGGTTAAGACTTCTAAGAATTAGTTTCAACTTCTGCAAAACAATTTTCTCTCAATAATTCCTACAGAACTCACCAGAAATATTACTGACTTGGTGCATAACAAGAGCTGCTCTGTGCCTTAAGCTTTGAGAACAGTGGCTACACTCATATGGCTTCTCCCCTGAATGAATTCGTGAGTGAACATTAAGGCTTGCCCTCTGTTTAAAGGTTTTCTCACAGCAATTACATTTAAAAGGTCTCTCTTCACTGTGAGTTTTCTGGTGAACATTAAGAGATGCTTGGCAAAAGCCTTCCCCACAAATGTCACAGATGTGAGATTTTTCACTCGTGTGAATTTTCAGATGTCTTCTAAGACTAGATGCATGACGAAAGCTTTTCTCACACTGTGGGCATTTATATGTCTTTCCTACCAAATGAACTTTCTGGTGCCCTAGAAGGTGTGACCGCCTACTGAATCGCATTTTACACACAGCACATTCATGGGGCTTTGGCCTTGGCTTTACGTGAACTCGCTGGTGTCTGTGAAAGTCTGACTTACGAAGGAAGTTTTTCCCACACTCAGAGCAATTATGAACCTCTCTTGAATGAATTATCAGGTGTCTTTTAAGTTGGGACATCTTCCTGAAAGCTTTATCACAATGAGAACACTTGTGAGCTTTCTCACCTACACTCTTTTCTTCTCTGGACCTTGGGGTGACAAGTGCTTGTACATTATAGCTTTCAGGATTTGCTCCTAGAGCGTGATTCAGATCATTTACAAATGGTGGTGCACTGAGGGGGTCATTTTGTAACTCCTGAGCATGCCCCTCAAGAGGATAATGATATAGATGCATATCATCTACGTCCTTCTGTTGTGGAATATTTTCTTCATTGTCTCTAAAACCTAAAAGAAAAAAAAACAAACAAAATAAGCATCTGTTATCTATGTTCCATGTGCTGTTGGGTCAACTTTGTCTCCAGAGACTTTGCAAGGTCCACCTTCACCTTGGTGTCCCCCCTCCACCAATCGCATCCTTTGAGTTCTTTTACGTCAACGGTAAATAACAAGTTTAGATAAGATGGCTATAATAGCTAGTAATGGGGTCCCTGTTTCCATTCTTACTCTCACTGTAATCCAAATGATTTTCTAACTGCAAACTCATTTATATCACTCGCAAGTGTCCCATTCCCCTTGGGTAACAAGGCCGACACTCTGGCAGCAAGGCCAACGCTCTTGCTGTCTCAGAACAGAAATAAATAAACAAGCAAACCAACCAACCTCCCTGACGTAAATTTCTAGCTTACCTGGCCCTTCAAAGGGTGAATATTGCCCCATGGCATCAGGGATCAGGGTCTGTGGCCAAGTCTGTGGGATCAACATCTCTGGCATTGTGGCCTCCTGGGAAAGGTCCAGGATCTGGGGCTCAAGTGGCTTCAGCTGGGTGTTTACGGGTATGTATGAGGTTGCCACTGGTGCAAGTTCCTCCAAGGGCATTTCCTCACTATTCACCTGGGGGAAAGAAGAGAATCCATTACGCTAACATCTAGGCCAACACTGTCCACTGGAAACAATGCAAGCCACCCTTGGAAGTTTCCACTTCCGAGTGGCCCTGCAGGACCAGAAGGAGGAAACAGGGGAGGTCAATCTCAACAGGGTGTTTTACTTAACCTGGTATACTCGTCATGTCATGGCTTCAAG